CTTATATCTCACATGAAAGGATTAAACACTATAATCAGTAAGAATGCTATTAACAAACCATATAAGTTCTTCATTTTTTAAAGTTTTTCTCTAATTCTGAGGAAATATCATCACAATTTTCCAACAGTTTATTAAGAAGAATGGCGAGGAATCACAAAAGATGTTAGGTTACGTAACAGCAAAAAGTTCAACCAGTGAATGAATGAATGAACACCCAGAAAATTTTTTTTGTGCGACAAGTAGTACAATGAGGGGAATATGTAAATGGACAAACAGTAATAAATCAGACGCTGCTTGACCTTTGTTTTGACGCTAAACCATGACTATTCATTCCCCAAATAACACAACGGATTCCTTTATTTTAGGTAATTTGTCGTAGAGCAAATGAAAAATTTTGATTCTACGGTAGAAATCGTGCCAAAAAACAAATTGATTAGTGTTTATGCAAAACATGTCGAATAAGTGGGGTATTTCGCCCCTTTTATAAACAATATTAAACCTCCATTTACAAGTGTTAAACGCGATAAACATAAATGCTTCATTTTATCCGTTTTATCGTTATCTAACTCCATGGGTGCTTTACTATTCACGTTCTGTATTTCTTTATTGAGGAGAAGTCTTATAGCCGTGCTAAAACTAATAGCAAACCATTGTATCTGTAAGTTTCTGTTAATAAAAGTTTTGCGTTTAGAACATACATTCATTTGTATCGCAATGCTGCTTATGCCATACTAAGTTGATGCAGCACAATACTTCCTATTTCGTTTAAAGACCGAATGTTGCCTGTGCTCTTATTATAAATGTTTCATCTTCAATCGTCGGTTTATAATAATATCAGCAAGACCTTCCAAAAATCCTCAAGCTTTTCTACGCTATCATCGAATTAATTGCGCTTGGCAATAGTTGACATCTCCTGTGTTATTCTAGAGTGGATAATTTTATAAAAACCAACCCATCTACCTCCATTCTTCTGCGTTTAAATGTTTCAACACTTAAAAAAAGTAAAATGTGTGTCTATCTTGCATGGAAAACTTTAAATGTGGAGACTTGGTAATTAGCATTTGAGGTTTTTCACAGTTTTGGCAATTTTACTTCCACTGTGGAAGACTACAATGCCGGAACTGGTTGAACATATAACGTGAAAGCTAAAAATTCCAGAATTTTTCATGCTTAACATTAACCTTTCTAATTTAATTATATGCAAATAAGACACTTGAAAACGGCTTTTCCGTTTTTTTTCAAAAGGAAATCGGTGCTAGAAAGGATGACAAATAAAAGACTAAATTTCAGTCAACATTATCTCCTTGGGTTGTGTATTTCTATCCAAACACAGACACAAAAAATTAGCCTTAAATTGACTAAAGTGTTAATTCATAAAGTGTTAGCCTTGCAGGTTCTAAAACCTTAATAATTATGTTAGTAAATGTCAACTATTTGCTATGATTTAGGTTATCTGACTTCAAAAGATCAAAAATGCTACTTAATTTGAAATATTGCTTAACTTTTTGCTTAAAACTGCCAACACCTTCTCTATAAAATATGTACGAGCGTAAGCTTTGAACAAACTCATGCTAGGCGCTAAAAATTTTTACCATAGTGACATGAACTCACATAGGCTTAGTAATTCCCTATCAAGAATAATTCCATAATCAAAGAGCCTTTAGTGATTTGCAAAGAAGCAGCCTTTGAGAAGAAATTTGTGCTGTAAAATGAAACTTAACCTTCTGATTGGTAGGGTGCACTGACCAATAAGTGCACTAGCCTTCCTTCCAATCATGCTTCTGCATCTTCAAGATATGATCTGGGTAAAAACTCATGCATTACTTAGCATCTTAATTAAACATTAAAAGTAAATTGCTGGTCTTTGATTTGGCGGGCTAGGATTTTTTAAAGCACAATTACAAATAGAGTGACGATGGATGGACATGAAAACGCAAACACTTTATCGCAAAACCGCTTTTCCAAATTTGTAAAAGGAAGACCGTGTTGCTACTCTTTCAGCTCTCTTGGCTTCAGAGAAAGCCACTAAATCGCAACATCGTGAGCTACTTCCAGGTCTAACATTTGAAGAGCTATATTTGTTTTTTTTAGTAATAAATATATATCAAAAACACCTATTTACGACATTTACAATCAAAAACATTTCAAAAGCGCGGTGATTTTCCCACTGAGTTTTCATTTTATTATCATTTTGAACTTGTTTCTTTGGTATTAAACCTGGCGCTACTAATTAAAGATGGAAATTCTGCGTGGACAATAAATGACAGGAATTGAAAAAAGGCCGTAAAACATTTCGATCGAATGGGTGGAACATTTAATGCTTCCTAATTTCGTACATTTTACCTAACTCATAAAAAGGGCCAAAATCTGGTAATTAGTGAATAAAATAAAAGTGACATTAAACCTGCAAATATTTTGGCAATAAAATTGTTTTTTAAAGTCTCACGGCGTGTGCATGGCCTGTAGCACCTGCACGTTTACTTGAATGACCTTTTTCCCAGTTTATAACAAACTTTTCTTCAGCTACTATAACCACAGGAACTGTAGCTGTCAATAGACCTACGAGACTTGAGAGAGGATGATGTGGTTACCTTCCAGCATGGCAAGAGTCTGGTGATTTAATTAGCATCACTGTTCTACCATTCCCTGTAATAAGTATCTGCTATTTTTAATAGCATTGACTACCATAGGAGGTAGCTTTATGAATGTACTTCAAAACATTCCAGTTCTAGCTGCTTTTATGTTTAATCGTGTGAGGTTAATCAACCAAATTTTTGATGTTTACCTTGACTACGCTAATTAAGCAATCAGGGACTTATAAACTTTAAAGTTTCATCCGCCTTAAGTACTTTGGTGCAGATTTTTCTAATACTTATATAATGCGTCCAAAACACGATGCCACACAGCACATACCACTATGCCTAAGCTACTGCTCAGTACTGGCGGAATCTGAAGAATCCCAAAGTTTTAGATAGCATAATTGGTAGTAAAGGGAGAGCTGTTTATACTGATAAACGACGCAGATTTGAAATAATATAAGAATGAAACAATATGAACATGTTTATGTAAATTATTAAATTAAAATCACTGCTAGAATCCACGATTCTTTCCCCAATGAGACGGAATTTTCAAAACGTCCTCTTTTATAAAAAAATTCTTTTTCAGGTCAAAATAACCTGACCTTGGCCATCCTCTTCTCGATCTCACTTATTTTCCAACGATCCACAGATGAGTTGGTTTAGTACCAACAGATTTGACAACCA